CTCCCAAGCTTGTCTCCCTTCATGATTTCGCTTTTGGCTGCCGCTGCCGCCTTGTCTCTCAAGCTTGTCTCCCTTCCTGATTTCGCTCTTGGCTGCCGCCGCCGCCTTGTCATTTTCTTGCCTGCCTTTGACGCGGATGCTGTTATAAGATGATTTGGGTCTTGTTTACCGTTTCCATCCTTTTTCCGGCTTTGAGTGGGATGTCTCCCAAGCTTGTCTCCCGCTCTTGCCATGCTATCCAACTTTTCTTGAAGTGCTATCTGGGGTCTATGCCGGTATACTTTTTTTGTCAAGAAAAAGGGAAGTAAGTCTGAAGGTCTACAGTAACGTCTAAACAAAGAAACACTAAAGAACAAAAAACAAATGCTGATACTTCTTTACATACGACATTTGTTCACAGTTTGGGCATGTTCAATGTTTGGGCATATTCCATTACCAGTAACAGTGGGTTGGTAAAGACCTTTCTCAATAAAGTGATATTCTTTGACCGATGGACAGATGGTTACGGGCAATGGACCACACCCTATTTATACATAGTGATAGTGAACATCCTTGTGGCGCTGCCAATGAGAAATGGATTCCCTGCTCAGTGGACCCTGGCCATGAAATTAGCCTTGCACCTCTCGGCGCACAAGCCACAAGGTATCCACAGTGGTCACCATCGAAGGCCCTACCACGAAGCCCAAGGCTTGACCCACAGGAGGTCCAGTGACTGCAACAGCCTCAAAGTGCGGTCGACCCCTGTGGGTGTGAAAATGTGTCAAATGCGGTCGGCTGAAACTCTTCTCAGCTGTCTCACGCAAAGGCCATGACATGAACCATGACATGTATGCAATTGCATCATGAACCCACGAGGGCAAGAAGCTATGACAGCTATGAACCTGTATGAGCAATTCTTGAGCCAGGTCGCTGTTGCAAGCGTCCTCTCCCGGGCAGGAAACCACACATCAGAGATCAAAGGACCTGCGATGTTGGCCCAAGCAGCCGTCATTCCGTTGGCCAACCTGCAGTTGAGCAACGGAAAGCAACGTGCTGGGCAAACTGGAGCTAACATCAGCATATACCTAACAAACACAGTCAAACACTGGCCCAACCACAAAACAGTGTCTCGGCTAGTCATGCCTAGCCACATTGACAATTGCACCATCATCATGAAGGCATGGCCCTCCAGCGGCAGGCAACGGATCAAGCCACAGAATGCTAACGAAACAGTGCTCAACAGCATAGTACATCTCGCACCATATCTGGCGTACCTGAGAACACAAGGTACAGCAAGAGACGTGCCTATCCGAATAGCACAAGTTGGAACTTCCCTAGAGTAAACACCGCCAATGGGCAAGTCACAACTTGTTGACTGGCACCAAGGCCAGCATGAAGCTGATATTAGCAGCATTGACGGCCCACTCGAAATCGGAGTCACCCCAACCATAGACCAGCTTGATGCTCTTGGAGATTGGCGAGAAAACGTTCCAAAGCAAAGCTTGCAAAATGTTCATCACAGTGAGCACCAAAAGAATCCACCACCTGGAATTAAGGGGAAACTGGCAGGCCATGCGAACGAGTGACAGGAATCGATCACATGAAATCCATAAGTGCTTTCCCAAGCCTTGCTGGAGAGGCAACATGGGCACAAAAGGGCTCTTCACATTGCACATGGAGTGCCATATCTATCGTCAAGGTACTGGACTGACTGATTCTACTGCTCTGTGTGGCCAGTATCTGTTCTTTAGGGTGCTCTCCGTTTGGGAAAGCATTTTTGTATCCAGGAACTTCTTACCATTTGGTTAGGAAGGCCGCGAAGGGACCATTCGTGTCCACCTGGTCTCCGGGACAAAATTTTGGCTCAGAATTTCTTGCATTTTTCAATCCTACGTCTTCTGGTCCCTTGAGCCTCATGCCTTCGGCAGATCTGGGTACAAAAGCAATCCCGACATATCGTCACCATCAAGACTTCATTCACTTGGGGCTTAAGCGATGTTTTCTTCATTGACAGGGATTGATCTTTGGCTCGCTTGACTTGCGAGCCAAAGAAAAAAATAAACGCGGTCCTTCCAGGCGGAAAATCCGGGCGTGGTGATCTGTTTGTATGGATTCCACAGCTCGGTTTCCTCAGGAAAAACAATCATACGATATTATTCGAGTTGGTTCTTGGTTCGAAACGTTCCTCCAGTGCAGTGGGATTTGCGTCTCCACAAATCAGAAGCTGCTTAACATCAGTGCTCCCATCGTTTCTATGCAAAATCTTGGGAGCAAGGATCCGTCATAAGGAATATCGCATCTTCGATGTAGCGACGCCAAGAGCGGAAGGGGCCATCCACCCCTCACAAGTTTCTATCCCCCAAACACCCAAGGGGTGGCCGGTTGGGCATTTTCTCCGAGTTTGATTTTTCATGGCTTTTCACTCTGGACAAACTGAAAAATGCCAATAGACTCTGACAAACAGAATGGCAAATCTTGTATGGAAAACAACTGCTGCTGAGTGGCCGAAGCCGCCCCCCCAAACGAAAAGATGGTCTCGACCCAAAGAGCGTGGGAAATGCTGTAAGCGTCCCACCAGACCTCAGTTCGATGCAAACAATCTGATTGGTGGCTTACATCTACGTGAGGAGCTTATAGCTTACTTCAGGGTAGGTATCTTGGGAAATTAAAACTTGGCAATGTGTACACACACTGAGGAAGTGAGAGCCAGCCCCAACAAACCTAACCCCATCACATCCTCGCTAGGGCATTACCCAAGCTTGCAGCAACAACCATTGCTGTAGCAACGACCTGGAGCTCACCTCATGAAGAATTTTCCAGGAGGGACCATGCAGTCCCAGCCGCTCTGGAAGAGTGCGTCTGAGTCCTCCTGCGCAAAAAATTGGAGAACACAAAAAAGAGTGGATCAAAATTTGCTCCTCGCTGAAGGTCTCCACATTCAGGTGACAGGCCGTGTAGTGTGGCACGAAGAAGAAGTCTGCCTGGGCAAAAGGAAGTATGTTGTTTGTGAGCATCGGTGCATCAGCTTGGCCCAAATTTGATGGTTTGGGTTGGGGGTTGGTACTTTGCAAAACTTGGAATTCTTTGGACAATATCATCATACAAGTATGCAAGCAACGCATGGCTTTTCAGAAAGATGAAGCACTCAAAAAACCAAGATTACACCGCATTCACAAATATTTCGGTAATATAGTTAGGAACAGGCTCGGTCTGTGTTCAGTTCATTCAGTTCTGTGGTTGCCACTGGTACGCAACAGCAGCAGCGGCAGCAGCACCCCACCACCACACACGCACACAGTGACCGACTTACGCATGAGGTGTGCGTATGGATCTCAAATAGCAGCATGTATTAACCCAACATGAAAACAGCATGAAATCAGCACCAACATACAGTATTTTATGTCAATTGCCAGCTTGATGGACCCAGTGTGGCTCCGGCACTAATGAGGTCAGCACTCAACACTTGGCAAAGAAGACACGCCAAAAACAAATTAGAGTTAACAAGCAAAAAACAATGTAGCACCCAGCATGAAAGCAATAGGGACAAAGAACAGCCTTTATGAATCCAACGTGAAATCAGCATCAATCCAGCATGAAAACGACATGAAATCAACGCTATACAGTATCAATATCATTTGCCAGATTAAATCCAGCATGATTCCAGCGCTAATGAACTTAGCGTTGAACAATCCCTCTCTAAGGGAAACAAAAAACCAAAAAGGACATTAGAGTCAACAAGTCCAATCAATTGTATAACCACATGTAGAACCCAGCTTGGAACCAACAGGGACACAGAACTTGAACAGCCTCTATGAATCCAGCGTGACATCAGCATCAATCCAGTATGACAAGGAAACGAAATCAGCACTCGTCTATCATTGGATAGATTGATTCCAGCATGGATCAGGCATTGGTGAACCCAGTGTTCAACAATCTCTTGGAAAAAAGGGAACTACAGTCAACAAGTCAAATCAAGTAACAACACGAATGCATCAAGCATGAAAACAGCATTAAGACAATACTAGTTTACCTCAACTTGTGGCATGTATGAACCCAGCAAGAAACCAGCATGAAATCAGCACTAATCATTTTTACATCAATTTGGAGCATGTCTGAATCCAGCATGAAAACAACATGAAAGCAGCACTAGTCCTTTTCACCTCAATTTGAATCCAGCAAGAATGAACGCAGCATGAAATCAGCACTAGTCATTTCTACTTCAATTTGAAGCATGTATGAATCCAGCATGAAACCCGCATGAAATCAGCACTAGTCATTTTTATGTTTCAATTTGGAGAATTTATGAATCCAGCATGAAATCAGCACTATAGTCATTTTTACCTCAATTTGGAGCATGTCTGAATCCAGCATGAAACCAGCATGAAGACAGCATGAGACCAGCACAGAATCAGCACTAGCCATGATTAACGCCGGTTACGCCAGTTACCAGCACAAAATGACTGGTGCTGACTTCATGCTGTTTTCATGCTGGATTCAGAAAAGCTCCAAATTGAAGTAGACTTTCATGCTGTTTTTATGCTGGATTCATAAATGCTAGAGTTGAAATAAAAATGACTAGTGCTGATTTCATGCTGGATTCAAATTGAGGTACTATGGGCTGAAACCGGCGCGAAACCGGCATGATTTTAACATGAATTTAACATGAAACCGGCGCTAGTGGAAACGGACATGAAACCGGCACGTATGTTTTATCCAGTGTTTTATCCCAAAATCACTTTCTTTTGCAATAAAATTCTGGTGAATATTTTTGTTGGTGGTTTGAATGTTTTTGTGTTTTTTTGGTATGAGGAGATTCTGTATCATTTTTGCTCTATGAGATGTTTTGAAAAAATGAAACTGCCAATTCAAGTCAAACTGCTTAGAGAATAACTATTTATTTTTAAAGTCATTTTTTTGAAATCAGTAGTGTTGATTTCATTGCGTTTTCATGTCGTTTTCATGCTGGTTTCATGTAGGTTTTGACTAGTGTTGACTTCACGTGGAATTCATGTTGTTTTGGTGCTCTGGCTTGTGGTTTTGAGACTTGCAATAGCTCCTTGGCTCCCTATTGAAAGGGTTGATTAGTTATTTAATTATTATGGGGAGCCCCCTGACTCACCTAAAACCGCGGAGCCGCAGGCTGCGCCCACACCGGAGACATCCCTTCTTGTCTTCTCGGGCTGCCGCTTCACGGCGCAGTGTTAGGTGGCTGCTGGAAGTCTTGGAAGGCTTGCCAATGGTCACGATAATGCCCCCGTCAGTTTGGAAAAGAAAGGCCCTCAGAGAGACCATTGTGACTTGAAAGCAGCCCCCTAACTCAGACGAGGTTTCTTGTAGATTCATCAGGCTCACGACTTTCCCCTTTCAAAGCGGCCTTCTGCCCATTAGGCATGCGCATCTCGTAGGATTAATACTATCGGTTGTTTACCTCTCTCAAACGAACAGGCCAGCAAACGTCGCGGCTCAATCGCTGTGAGACGTGCCGGCTCAGTTGCTGGTGGTCCTGGCGACACGCGCGCATCAGCCAGGGCGAATTTATAATCAATGGCAGAGAATTCAAAAAAACGAAAGTGCCAAGGAGGACGGATCTGAGCGACAAGCAAAACCTAGGTGTGAAGGTATCGTTCTTTTTATGTTGTGGTCCGGGCTCCAAGGAAGACCACTCCACTGAAACTGGTACCGTTTTTGTGTTCTGGTGTCGTTTTCCATGGTTTCTGCAAAAACTCTAAACATATTGCGCATCTCTACATACTGATGAAGAGAACCCTGTCGAAAGTTGCTCATCTAGAAACCAACTGGGATGATTTGGAGGAAGCAGGCTCGATGGCGCGCAAATTTTTCCTCCATCGTAGCTCAAGCTCGCCGCTTTCTTGCTCGGACTGTCATCCTCCAGGTTCGGGAACTGGAGGCTCGCGAGGAGCGGACTGCAGCAAGTCCGGAAGAGAGCCACCAGCCAAGGTGGGTTAGGCCCCCTCGCCATGGTGGTTGCGTAGCCGCTGCGAAAGATCCCGCTTCGGATCTGCACGGTGACCATCGCCGGTCCTCGGCAGGCCACACGATTCAATTTGTGGAGTGGGCCAGCCCGACACAACACGCAGAGGCAAACTGCGCATGAAAAGAAACTTGGGGAAATCATCAGGTTGTTCCAAGGAACCAAATCCTGCCAGCTGCAAGCACTCGGAATTGCCAACAGAGTTAGTATACACGGTGTTGTGGTTCACGGCCGTAAGGTCGCACACCTTGGATTCACAAAATGCGTCCATTTACGAAGCAGATCGACGCCCGTCCTGCGACTAATTTTCATTAGCCTCGGACTTGGGGGGTTGCATGGAAACCCATATTACATGTGCAACGAGCTATCTGCGGGGAGGCAAGTTGGAAGGCGTAACCCAACCAGGACGAAGAAGTGCTTGCCTATAACAAGCAGAGGAACATACAGGCTGCCTGCGCGCTGCTGGTACTCAACCTCGCCAGAGTCCCACCGCAAGAGCACGCCACGTCTGCCGCTGTACGTAAGGCACAAGTGAAGTCCACAGCTGGCGCCTCCGTCATAGTGGCTGCGATCTGCTTGGGCCGGCGGTGCTGGTGTCTGGACCTGCAAGGCTGCGAAGCACCAAAGCCAGTCAGCGACAGGCGTCTCGAGCAGACGGGTCGCGTTTGCACAGGTGTCCTCAGGGTGTACTGACCTTGGCGTGCAGGGCCAATGCCCCGATCTAGTTGGTGAGCTGGGGCTCGTGGAAAACGGCAACCCTTGAGGTCTCAGTCCTGCTTTATCGTGGGTGGATGTCAATCAATTAACCTGATGCTAACTTTCCCCCGTAATCATCAACACGCGGAGATACAAACATCTCTCGGCGTTGCATGCATGGTTTCTGGCAGGGCTGCCATTTTGCAATGGGTTGCCTCAACTGTTGAAAAGCTTACGACTGATGCTGCGAAAACAGGGCTCGAGCTTTTTGGGCGACAAGATGCAAGTGCGCCTTGATCGCTCTGCGGAGCCGCTGCTGAAAGCCCAACAAAAGCGAGTGGTTTTCCGTCTTGACTTTGTGGATGTAGTCCGCCAGATTGGGCAAGATGATGTCCTTCGGACAAGTGATGCCGTTGTAGCCTTGCGCAGGTTCAATCCACCCACCGTTTGGGCACGAAAAGAAACATGCTGGCTCGCCAAACACAAACACGCACAACAATCAGCGCAGAAAGCTGGACACATGGCCAACACCACTGAGCCTTCAAAGCCACCGCAGTCCGGTTTTGAAAACCTAGTTTCCATGTGGAATCCTTAGGCCCTCCTGATTTCCAGCCTTGAGGAGCCTGGTCGTTCAACTTGCTGTGCAAAGTGAGCTTCCCATTCTCCTTTTCGCCGGCGAAGGTCAGGCCCGACAAGTCCTGCGCAAGGTTGCTGACGGTTGCCAAGGACAGCTCCAAGGCGCACATCCGCGCTTTGCCTCTTCCTCCTGCCGGGAAACTGAGAGCATGTCACCAGCGTGTGATAACCATCTTGAAGCCCCGAGGTCCACAGGGGAATCACAAGACGACCTGTGAGAGTGTGAGAGCATCTGTTGCAGGAAGCCTACTTATAGCAGCAGGAAGCCGACTTTTACATCATATCTATAGAGGTCTGCATATTTGTAAATACATATATATTTATATACATCTGTTTTCGTTTGTGGATATTTTGCACATACGAACACATATCGCCACCTACGTCCCCAAACACACGAAGGCATCCTCCTCAGACTCAAACACAATAGCACCAAGGTCTCTCTTGACGGCTGTCAGCTTAGAGGCGCGCGTGGTCTTATAAGGGTTCTTATGGTAAGAATGAAGGCCTGTGTTTGTTCAAGGTGTTCCAACGGCCTGTCCGGCTTATTCGTTGCTATACTTACAGTGCGTTGATGCCCCTCGAGATCTTTCGAAGTGCATTTCGACTGCGCAGGCTCACGAAACCTGTCGAGTATAGCTCTCGCTGCGGCGCCACTTT